GCTCGGCGCGGTGCTGGCGGCCGCAGCCCTCCTACTGGTGAGGAACGGGTTGGGGACGGGCGCGGCCTGGGCTCTGGTTCTCCGGCAGACTGCGGCTCTCAGGCGTGCGCTCCTCCGCGCTGCCGGCTTTGAGACGTGTCTTTTCCCCCTGCTTCTCCCCGATTCTCAACTGCAGGGTTTCCTGCCCAAGAATTTCACCCCTCTTTCTCTGGCAGTTTTCTCTGGAAGCTTATCTCTGCTGTGTCCAGAGCCTTGGGACGCGCGCCAGCCAGCCTCCCATCCCGCGTCCCGCCCACCCGGCCTGTAGCCTCCTCTCTGCAGCACCCCCAGGCCGCGATCCCTGTGGTTTTGTCTCCGCCACCTGAGGCCCTGAGTCCAGGAAGGGTGCCGGTGTTACAGTTGGGAACAGATAAAAGGATCAAGACGACCCCCTGAGGACATGGCGTGAGCAGGACAGCCCACGCCTCGTCTCGTTAGTTACCTTATGTCTAAAGGTCTTCATGTCACAGAATTCAGCACTTTAAATTTACTGCCCCTCTTAGAAGCTGCAGGACAACAGAATTGAAACTCAGATTTACTTGCCATTACTCTTTTGATAGAAAATTTTCCAAATGAACTTTGCCACATACTTTGGAAAGAGCCAGTTACTAAATGGAGAGGATTTTAGCTTCCTTGGCATTCAGATTAGCTGCCTAAAACATCTGTGCCAGGAAGGCCACTGTGCCACCTTCCTCAAAGAGTTTGTAAAATGGTACCTTGGGAACGCTAGATAAAGCCAGTTCATCCTTTCTTTTCTGTTGCTATGTGCCCTTACTAGTGTGTCTTTCCTAAGGTTTTTGGGAGGGCAGTGTGACGCAAACCCAGATTAAGGCCTTGCTTTTGAGTCTGTTGCACCGATTTAAACATGTGATAATAGGAGCTACTTTTTTTTTTTTCTTTTTGTTGTCCTAGGGATTGAAAAGGGCCCTCCTGAGTACTAGACAAGCACTCCACTAAGCTACATACTCAGTTTTTTTTTTTGTTTTGTTTTGTTTCAGCTTTGAGACAGGGTCTTGCTAAGTTGCCCAGGCTATCTTCAAATTTGTGATCCTCCTGCCCCAGCCTCCTATGTATCTGGGATTACAACTGTGAGCTAGTAGGCCCAGGAGAAGCTACTGTCTATTGATTATTTCTGGTACTATATGTTAGATTCTGTATTGAATGTTTAATAGTAATTGTCTCATTTGATCTTTGAAACAGCACTGTGACATAAATGTTACACTTTTTTTTTATTTTTCTGCTGAGGGCATAGGTTGGAGAAAAGAGCTCCCATATTCAAATACAGTTAGTGGAAATTAGCCTTTTGTGAGGAGGTGGAACAGTAGTGGGGATTTAATTCAGGGCCTTCACACAGCCTATCTTCAGTACCCCCCCTTTTTTTTTAATTCTGAGACAGGGTCTCACTAAATTTCCCAGTCTGGGTTTGAACTTGAGATCCTCTTGCCTCACCTTCCAGAGTTCTGGGATTGCAAGAATGTGTCTCTGCACCCAGCAAGTTAGGTATTGGAGACACGTAATGGCAGGTTGCTTCTGTTGTTGACAGCCGACCCACAGAAACCTTGTCTTCAGCCTGATGGTTTGTGTCAGCAGTCATTTAGGATCATTACCTAAATGTTCTATTTCACTGGTTTGTAAAGTGGTATATT